ATAGACTCAATATCTATGGATTTATATCCTAAATATGAAAGGGGGTTTCCCCAGGTAGTAGCGTCGTAGTACTATAATTACTAAAAATAGTTTGTTGAAGCTATACTAAATACTTTCTTGTTTATTTTTCTTCGAATCATCACTATTCGAGACCATTTTAATTTGATTTTCTACTAGACTCACGAGCTCTTTTAGAACCACACTTGCCACCCAGAAGCAAGTTAAATTTTTATGTCATACCCATCAACATCAACGTCGTGCTGCCAATTTAATTTTATTGACTGTATAAAATTTATGTTTGTGTTACGACCATTGTTCTTTTTCGATATGCGAGGGAGAATTTGACAGAAAAATAGATTGTTTTTGTCAAACGAGTGGAACCAATGTGGTTACAGATATTTTTAATAAAAACTTTATACGTTAGTTCATTACTGTACTAACGAGAATCCAAAATTATAAGTAGGTACTCTATTACCCAAAGTAGGCTTCGACACTTCGAAACTTCACCGCAAATTTTCTTCTTTCTTTCCGCGAACTGACATTAAGGCCAAAGTTTCACTGTATTTTTACAGGGTTCATCATTTCCGTTAGCATTTAAATTCCGCTAAAGGTATTAAAATAAATCTTCTACCAGCTTAAAGTAGAAGGTTTGGAGAATTAAATCTCCTATTTTTTATTTGTCCTGTTTATATACTGAATTTAAAAAACAAACATCATAAAACCAGAGCTAAAAAGGATATTTCATTCTATATATTTTTCTAAGTATCCCGCCAAAATATTTCTATATTTTATTGGAAATTTGTCAAATCTAAGCGGAATTACGATAAAGAAATATTTGAGAAATGTATTTGTCAAAGTAAAAATTTTCTATGAATTCCTGTAATGTCTAGTTCATCCATTTTAAAGTACATGTCACAGGAAGATTAATTACCATATAAAAACAATGTTGCCACTTTGTTTTAGAGATGATTTAAGTAGGCGAATAATTGTTTAGAGGTACCTATTTTGGAACTGGTATACTACATCTGTACGCTGTCCTTTATTGCCTCGCGATTTAGATATATTGGTCTCGCGTCATTCCAGTTAACTACAAAATTATCGATTTATTTTATCTATGTATGATACAAGTGTTGCCAGATGTACAATAATTATCATTTTATATGATAATTTTGGTGTTCTATACAGTGTACTATTGTACGGTAATGCCGATAATTTTACAATTATTTCAATAATTTGATTTAGACTCCACAAGACATCGATAATTCGGGCAAATTTAATTTTAAAATGGGTGAAATGCAAGAAAGGGACGAAACTTTATTATATTCCGATCTAATTTGGATCCGAATAACCTGGCAACACTGTATGGTACGCACGTAATAATTATTATTAGAGTGCGGGACTTCGACTGAATGTTATTTTACCTTCATTAGGAACCTGTATATCAATTTTCTAAAAATGTGCCCAGGCTCTCAAAAGGGGGTAGTTCGGTTCTACAAATTTACAATTATATTAATATACCAAATTTTAATAATAATAAAAAAAAATTAAATTCTTTAATCTTCTCTTCTATATTTTTTGTTAGCTCCTATCTATCTATCTCCTTGTTTCTACATGTGTGTGCTTCTCTCACCTATATGCCTTGCCTTTCTCTACCCGTATTCTTTTTCTTGCCATTCTTGAATCTGCTGCTACCATCCTTGGTTCTGTTAACCTCTGTCTATCTCTGCTTAGCTCTGATACAGTATATTTTTTTACTTTTTAAATGAATCTTTACTTTTAAGCTATTGCATAGCTTTTATCGCGGGCTTTGAGTGGCGACCGAATCAAGAAATTTCGTAACACCGTAACGAAAATAAACCTAACACCCCCCACTCCGACCGGCACAGCAGTGTGACGTTATATCCGACCCTATTCGTATTAGTATGAAACGAAGTTAAATATACGTCTGCGGACTGGAACATTTGTGCAATACAAGAACTAGAAGAGCTTCTAATAAATTGGTATCACAAATGTTCCCGACAATTGAAAGTTTAGGTAATTCTAAAAATACTAGTAATTTAGGCAGACACTTTTGAGAGGGTTTAATTGTCTTATTTACTGTAGAAAGAGATTTTAAATTCACATTTCGGGGTATAATAAAAAAATGCATTTATTTAGATGACTTATGTTTAAACTTTTAATCTCTCAAGATTAAAAATTAATACAATTAAGTAATAATGATACTTTTATAGTTTTTAAATCATATATTTATGTGATTCCATTAAATTACAATATAGGTATCATTTGACATGATAAATTTTTTTATAAATATTTGTAATAAATTGTTATATATTATTATAAACGATTCCAAACATCTATCAATATGTCCTCGATGGCGCAAAGCGCACAGTGGTCGTAATGTGGATAGTGTGGGTAACAAGTTGGTGGTTCGATCCCCAAAAATTTTAGTTTATTTTTTTTTTTTAAAGGAAACATTGTTTTATTATTTCACAGTCTTGGTAATTTAAAATGTTTAGTTTTTAAAAATTATATACTTATTCAATGCATAGTGGCGCATAACGAGGTTCTTTCAAGTTCAGCTAATTTTAAAAATGCAAGCTACCAGTGGAGACTTCGTTTATTTAAATTCAAAAAAAATAAGAATAGTATATTACATTACAAGTGTGGAAAATCACTGAATAAGTATATACCTTCTAAAAACTAAACATTTTAAATTACCAAGACTGTGAAATAATAAAACAATAATATTTTTCCTATTTTTTTAGAAAAAAAAAACTAAAAGTATCGGGGCTCGAACCACCAACTTGCTATATACACTATTCAAACCCAAGTAGGTGTATGTCATCTATGTACAACAGTGAATAGCTGTACGCGTAAAATTTGTGTATAAAGTGTTTTAAATATGAATAAACAAAGTGCATTTATTAACGAAGAAAATAATGAAAATGATAATGAAAGAAAATGAGTGAGTACTCTATGTACATACATTTTATTATTATCACAAATGCAGTATTTAGTACCTTTTAGCCCAAGAGCCCTCTGCAAATTTCGACCGTCATCTGATAACGACATGAAATATGCTCTAAAGACATGTAACAACATTGTACTTTACCAAATTGCACCTATGCCAATCCCTATCCTGAGCAAAGTGGTTAAAAAAATTATTTTATAAACCTCTAGTGTCAATAATAAAAATAACTGAATAACCTACATGCATTGTAAGAAATTAAAAATATTTTAAACAATATTAACTTCTCGTTTATTAAATTTATCGGTCACCACGCTCAAAAAGTGTAACTTGAATTAATATCAAAGAAAAAACTTGAATTATTATCAAAGAAAAAAAATACTGCATAAATAAATAAATAATTATAATTGCATAAGTTGATAAAAATGCTATGCAATAGCTTAACCGCGGCAGTCCCCGAGTGCCACACGTTTTTTATTTTTATTTCTTTTTAATTAAAATCTTTCTTCAAACAACTTCCAATCTATAATGTATCTACTTCTAATATTTTTTTATCAAATTCCCCAGTGACAATTAACCTTAACTTTTAAAATTCTCAACTGACAACTCCTAATTTTCTCATGAAATTTTTTAAAAATCCACAATCCCCCACATTCTGATTTTCACTTTTTTTGATTTCTAGAAACTTCACCACCCCAGTATAATTTAATTTTGATGATGTCAGGAATTTCTATATCAAATCCCCCCAATTTATTGTTCACCCAGTATATTTCTAAAATATATTGTGAACAATACTTTTAAAATTTTAAGTTTTTAAACCAAATATTCAAATTCCTTTGATTAGTCATATTTTCCCCACTTGAAAAGTCGATTTCGTTAATTTTTTATATTCATTCAACAAAAACATATAAACTATTTACTAACTACCTAAATATCCACTTCATATTTATATAAATTTTGTACCTGAAATACTCCTCCTAATTTATCATCTTTCAAATTCTTTAAACTATAACCATCCCTATTACTTCATTAATTTCACACATTTTACATTTATTTACACAGGATGATAGGCACCTGCTATCTCGTGAGTCAGCCTACAGATTCGATGTAGTTGGCAACGTCGCCAAGAGGTGCTTCTCTTATATTGGCCTTCTAATAAATGAGAGTGTCGAGCAATCGTAGAGGATATGCTCGATGGTCTCATCTTCTTGTGCAGGAGTGCGGATTCTGATAGCCCCATGATACGGAGATGCTTCTGTACTTGGCAATGACCAATCAGAATGCCTGTTACTAGGCGCAGATTCTGTCTAGTCATAGGCAAGTATTTGTTTGCTGCAGTGTTGTCAGGATAACTTAAAAGTTCCCTAGCAACTCTGCAGTTTCTTGTTTCATCCCATCTTTCCTTGAATTTCACGAGGGAATGTTCTTTAATAAGCTCTGTCACTACCGAGTTTGGCAGGCCAATGGAAGGGCCAAGTCCAAAAAGTATTTGGTTGGCTGCTTTCTTGGTTAGTGAATCAGCAAGACGGTTACCTTTCGATGTGGCGTGACCTTTGATCCATCTTAAGGTGGCCACGTTGTTGATGGATACTTCAGCCAAAACTTCGTAATATTCTAGTACTAACCATGAATAAATTCGTGGTCTGTTCAGGGTGAGTAGTGCTTGTCTGCTATTTGTATAGATGAGCATGTTCCTTCCAGTGATATTGTTTCTGGTGATTTCTTTTGCTGCTATGAGAATCTCCGTGAGGTCTGTTTGAACTACACTGGCACTATTGCTCATAGCCCATTTAATGTTAAGGTTTAAGGATCTGGAGTATATTCCACATCCTGTGGATGATCATAAAATCAAACTGTTGTAGGTGAACAGCCCATCACGCTATCCTTCCAACGGAGTCCTTTATACTATACTACTATACAGCCATAGAGAAAAATGGTCTGAAAAATATCTGCTTTTCTTCTGAATTGACATTTCTATCTTTAAGAACGCTTTGGGAATACAGATGTAAATATAACATATTTTATTATTCAGGTGCAATGTATGTGTGAGGCTCTTCAACAACGAGGAGATATCGAAAGATTAGCAACGTTTCTGTGGTCTCTTCCGCCATCAGAACTTCTCAGCGGCAACGAAAGCATATTGAGGGCCAGAGCAGCAGTGGCGTTTCACAGGGGTTCCTATCACGAGCTGTATTCGATATTAGAATCACACGCATTTCAAGTCAGGTGGCACGCCGAGTTGCAGATCCTATGGTTTAAAGCCCATTACAACGAAGCGGAGAAGATCAGGGGAAGACCGTTAGGTATACAAATATTTGATTTAGTTACTTTAGCATACAGATAAGCTCAAGTCACTAGACTCTTACGTAACAGAAATATTAATTTACCTAGTCTAGTGTGGTTGTTCATTTTGTTAAATTGGCACTTTTGCGGGGGCGCTGAACTTGATAACATATTTAACATTTAAGCCATTTATGATCTAAATTTTTCAAATTAAATTTGTTTAATGGAATCGTTGCTAATTAATGGAATACACTTTTTAAACAATATGTCAAAAAAGAAATAAATGAAATTTGAATTTGTTTAACAAAAAACTTTAAATAGATTCCAGAAACAAATTTAAAAAATTATGTATATGTAAAATAACCAAAAAATATCATGTAAATAACAAAATATTGTATATAATAATGGCTAAATAAACGTAAGTATAATCCATTCAAACACACACTTCACAGAATACATTATTGTCAACTGTGTATAACAGATCACTGCAATATCGTTTATAAAAATTATAAATAGTAATAGTGTCAAATAACAGTAGCGGCTCGTAACCAAAATAGTGGGGGTTCACCATAACAGAATATAGATCTCAGTACAGATGTAGGTATAATATACCTAAAACACTGAAAGTTTTTACCTAGTTTTGTATTGAGATCTTTATTTTGTCATTGTAAACCCCCAATATTCTGTTCACAAGCAGTCATTGGCTGCCAACATGGAACATTGTGGGACACCTAAAGTATTTTGAAATAAGTGTGATAGGATACTGTTCTCATTAAAATTTATTTTTGCAAAATAACCAAGATCAAAAATAATTATGACATACTTAGTTTGACATATGTATCTATTTGATAACTCTCGAAATTCAAATGCCCGACTTTTTATCAGTTTAATTGAAATTTATTACTAACGGTATTTAACAAATGATTTGCTAAATAAGTCTTAACTTGTATCGCGTTAAAAAGTTGTTCGCGTCTCTCCCATGCTTTTGAAGATTGTTTAGCCTTTTCAAAAATAAATATCAGTAAAAATAAAAATGTTTTCGACTTCTAATGTTAATGACGAGATTTGCTGTTTTAGCAATTAAAAAATGCATAAAGTTGTCCTCAACACATCTGTGATAGATTAGATTTAAAGGTTGGACATTATTTGTCCTATTCTGTCCATCGCGATCTTCTCAGATTTATTGTGGAACACCATTATTTACAGTATGTCGGCTAGCTTGGTCTTTTTTATTAGACTTGGTACCATAACAGTGGCTCCAGCATGCAGTTGCATGTTTTTGGCTTCTCTCTACCTAGCCAGGGTGTCAAACTGGCACAGAACGTTAATTTATATCTTATCTTCTTTACAGAATCTGCACAATGTGGCTTCTTCTGGTGCATTGAAGACACTCATGTTCTTTCCTAGACGAAAGTGTCCGATAAGAAGACAATTTTGATTCATTTAATCTTTGCAAAGTTATTTGATGTTCCCTTAATAAACTCTTTGACCTGTTTCAATCCTGGATGGTTGTTCCACCATTCCTAAGACTCTTTTTGAATCAATTGTTTGATAAATGCCTTTCATAATGCCTTAGCAACTCCACAGGAACGTTCGGGGCCTGCTATGCCCTTATCTGATTCTTCTCAGGCTAGTTTGTCAAATGTTTCCTTCCCGATGTCCTCCGTGACCTGATACCCCGGCTAAGCTCACTCTGTTTTGACTGCTTAGCTTTACCCGGTCGTCTAGGCAGTTTTTCACCAGTCCTGATTTGATTTCTGGTGAGAGAATTGTCTTTACAACTGCTTGGATATCAATAGTTTTGCCTGATACTTGCTGATTTATTATTTCTCTTACAAAGTATTGTTTAGCTATCAATTTGACCTGAAACATATTTTCCTAAGGCTCCGCTAAATCGTCGTTTTCAACTTGGGTCCAAAGATAAATGTATAAAAACATTTTCACTTTTAGAGCGTAATGTTTTACAATAATTGCGAATATTTTTATGTTTTCCAAGCAGCTATTCTGATTTAAATTCGTTTGACGAGTCAGCCTTACATAAAATACTAACTTACTATTTAGTGGACGCCTTTATTTTATATAACAAATTTAAGACAAGTAAATGTATTTACTTTTGAAAGCAAGTTACCACTTTTATGATTCAATTATCAACAAGAAAAAAAATGTCAAGTAAAGGCGTTTACTGGGTTTTATTCACCTGGTCCCATGAGGGTGAAATAATGACATGGACTGTTATTAAATGAAACGTTATAGGCTAATAAAAACTATCATTATAATTTCTAGGTGCCGTTGACAAATACAGACTCCGCAAAAAATACCCCCTACCGAAAACAATATGGGACGGGGAGGAAACAGTTTATTGCTTCAAAGAAAGAAGTAGAAACGCTTTAAAAGACTGTTATAGTAGGAATAGGTATCCAACGCCTGACGAGAAAAGGGCGTTGGCTAAAAGAACTGGTCTAACGTTGACGCAAGTATCTAATTGGTTCAAAAATAGGAGGCAGAGGGACAGGACGCCACAATCAAGGCCGTAAGTATATTTTCATACCTATATTACCAAGAGAATAGGGTTGATTCATGTGCTGACCGCCCATGACCTATTAATAATTAGAATAATAAGGAAGGATCCACTAAAAAAGAATGTTTCTAATATAGGCTCTGAAATAGACAAATACAGAGATACGAGCCATGTCCGTGATAACTACACACGCCTCTGAATTAAATTCAATCTGACACTTAACAATTTATGAAAGTAATTTTAAAAAACCGACTTCAAAATCGTGCAGATACCCTTAAAAATTGAGGTTTTTGATTTTCTCATAAATCATCAGATCCTAATCAATTGTATACGGAACTACCCTGAGGTATGCCCATTATAATAAAAAAGAATCATATAAATCGGACACAGTAGTAATTTTTTTTTCTTTACAAATTTTCCTACAAGAATTTTTAAAATTCCAAAAGATTCAAGCAAATTTGAAACGAGCGCCATAATGTTTTTTAAACATCGTCATAATGAAGCCTAACATTTGATTGGCTAATGTATAACCTTCCAGACAATAGTCGATGTTTTTACCTTGGTATTATATAATACATAAGTTTAATAAATTAATATTGATAAATTAAGTTTTTGTAACTAGGTAATTTATTCCTGTTTAAAAAGTATACAATAAATAACAGGCAAGTTTTATTATAAACGTTTAAGCAATAGAGGACTTCTATACCAGGGAAATGCAACCGACTTAACAAAATAAAATTGACACTAATGATATAAGAAATCGGGTTGTATTTTTTTTGGGGGATACAAACTCGGCACATGTCTCAGGTATAAGAAATAAAAATAGTCAAGCTCGGCACAGAGATTAAAAGATTCCCTTTTAAAATGTTTAAACTCGGCACATGAATAATAATACCTCCCTCTGCTTGCAATAAATAGACTGATGTAATATTTAAAACAAAATTTATTAATTTAAAATATACATAGTAGATATAGTTACATAAAAAGAATATATAACAAATTAATAATTTTCAAACATAACAATAGTGCGATATTATTTTAACATATTGTAGTTTGGACAACTTATTATTTTTATATTCAATAATTTTAGAATTAACAAAATTATGACGTTTCTTAGTGGCTATATTTTTAAATTTGTGAATTTCGTTAACACTATTGCATTTAATATATATTTCAGTTTGTATTTTAAGAAGTGCGTCTACAAAAATAAATAATGAATGATGCGTTTGGTACATGGATGCATTAAAATGGGAATGAACAGATTCGCAAGCATTTGTTGTTTTATTTAATGCAGCAGAGGGATCAGCCCATATATGTGGTGGAAATTTCGAATTTTTTTTTTGTATCATCGGCATCAACTGCTACGGTTATTAGCCTCGTGTTCTGTGTAGGCTTTGTTACTGTTTCCCAACGCAACTTTAGGAACAGCACTGTTAATTAGTACCCAACAGTGAATGGTCGAGTGGGGAATCCTACCAAGGCAATTTTAAATATTTAAATTAAATGAAAAATTCTGGTCAACGGTTCGATTCGAACCTGGGACCCTTGGATCCGCAGGCAGAGACTCTACAACTGAGCCACCCACCCCGTAATTTCGAATTATCTGTCAAATAATTTTCATGAAGGTAATCAGAAAATTTTCCAAGTCTTTCATCTACTGGCTTAATTTCGTAGAGCTCAAAAAAATAAAAATCGTCAACGTCCTTTGGTACCAAAAATAAAAGACCAAAACAATAATGGAGCCACTTTCCAATCGTGTCTTGTTATTCTTTTGATAAACCTAGATTTTGAATTTTTCTGTACCATGCTTGAGTTAAGTGGAATCGACATCCAGTAATTTTAGCATTTGGATAAATTTCTAACACTGCATTATGAATAGATATCTCAAAATCCACTACTATTTCTTCTGATACAAAGTTTATTTTTATATAATCACAATACTCTTTAATTTTTGATATGCAAAACGTATATATTTTTTCACTTTTGTCTTTTAATAAACAAAAATATAATGGTATACGAGTATAATGGCCATTAAAAAAACCATGTATTGTAAACATTTGTTTAAAATATTTGGTGCAGTAAGAAAATGTACCGTCCATATAAATACTTTTTGATTCACATAAAAACTTTAAATTACTTTTACAGCTAAATATCACTACAGTTTTGGATAAATCATTAACAATTTCTGTTGGTTTTTGGTTGAAGTTCATTCAAAGCTTTGTGAACCTCCGATAGCGCTTTTGGCAAAGCTGGCAACAAGTTTCGACGTGCAGTGCAAATATTTCTTCTAGCACATTGTAGATCACGTATTGTCAAATTATTTAAAGACACATCATTTTTAGCCAGCTTTATTCTAATCATTTTGAAAAGTTTTTCTGTTATATCACTTTCGGTCTTTCTCTTCAAACAATGACTTAAAATTTGTCTTTGCAAGACATTTGTTAGTTCTGGTTCATGATTATGATTTACACTCAGGTTTGTTATAACTCGACTTTTTGACTAACCTAAAGTATGAAAATTTGTTTTACATTTATCTTTGATGCACCTCCACTTAGTTTTTCCGGAAGCTAATTTTCTGTTGTGTTCTTTAAACTTATAGTTCTCGTAAACTAAGAAAAGTTTTCCTCGTTAACTGAACATTTCACTTAAATCTGAAGAATTATTCGCCATTTTTACACTTCTTTAAAATTATGAATCGATAGACCATCAACTTTAGACTAGAAATGACTATGAAAACTGATATACGAAACAAGGCTCCTTATATTATTACCTGTTACAGGTACAATTAGACAAGTAATTAAAAAGGTATCTTTTAATAGTTAATCAGGGCTTAGGTACTTAGTTATAAAAGTATAATTTAAAATGCATTAGGATTAAAAGATTACGATGTGCCGAGTTTCATGCCGCTCATTTAAACATATATTTTTGAATAAAATAATTACTTATTATTTTCACAAAAGCCTTAATGCAACCCTGTTTACTAACATGGTCATGTTCTCTGCATGTATTTATTTTTCTTTAACTTGAATATAGTATAGATACGCTGCTGTTTAAAAAATGAAATACTTGATGTAGAACAAGTTTTTAAAGCAATTTAGTTCCATTATTTTTTATATATTGTTTTTTTTTTACAATAAAACCTGCGTTTTTGTAATAAACGCAAATAAGGTGGAGCTTGGTAGGTACATCGGACGTGCTCAAATGGCATTTCTGCTTTTTAGTAACGGTTCACTTTTAATTATTTTTGTATGATACATATAGTTGGTCGTCGACTTTAAAGTGGAAATAGGTACACAGGATCTCGGTTTAAAAACTAGATATTAATTATTTTTGAATCACATGGTAAATGTATGGCTCTATGGTAACCTGTAAACAGACACACGAATTTCGAAAAAAAAAAAATAGTATTAAGTGTATGTTAATAACAAAAAAAAATTTGCGGAAAACGCATAAACAAGAGAAATTTGAGCATAGCGTGCTCTTATGATGTACATGTAAAAAGGACGAGCGTAAATTTCAAAACGTCGGCCAAGCGCGTTCTCTTCCAAGGTAGTTGTGATGTAGAAAGACGAGCGCGTTTTTAGTGTCAACTTTTTTATTTTTTGAATTCTAATTTACAAAAACCGTTTTGGATAAAAATTTTATGAAATAAATCAAGTTATATCGGTATAAGTCAGTTATAAATATACTAGGCGCACTATTACTCCAAAATAACGCAACGATTTTTTTTAATAGTACACCCTGTATTCAAGCTAATAAACGAAACGAAATAAATTAATGTTTCTGGAATTGACACTCGTTACCATCGATAGTGTTATCGATTAGGCATTCCAACGACCTGTCCAAATGGCTACCAGTGGGTAATGACAGTTTAGATATGGCAACCCTGTTATCATGTTGACATTAATAGGGTCAATGATACATATATAGTTATATAGATTGCTCAAAGCTGGTCGTTTGCGTGCGGCCATATTGCCTGGCAAATATTTATTAATTTGAATCGGTTTAGCAAAAATGTGTTTTAAAACTAATTGTCAGCCTTTAGATATTTAAAAAATAATAACTGCTTATATTTTTACATCAAGGCATAAGCTTATGTTTATTTTGAAAAATATGGATGATCAATCTATGTAACTATCTATTTCATTGACCTTGTCAAATCACCAGGCCTACAGGGTTGCCATAATTTTGCCATATCATAACCTGTCAAAACCCACTGGTAGCCATTCAGTTTGGAATGCCTAATTGTCCGATATTTTATCAAATTGGCAACATGGCTATAGATAATAATAGAGGTTTTTTAAGAAAATTGAGGTTATATAAAAAAATGGTTTATTTTCTGATTAATACACAATATTTTAATATTAACTTTGGTTATTTTGGTTTTCCCGCAGTTAAATTGATCAAAAATATTAAGTAGTATCATTTGCATTAAGAATATAGCGAAAATAGTGCAAATTGTTGTGTCCGTATTGTTTACAGTCACCCGAATATGTTTTTAGGTACTTAATGTCTCTAATCAATGCAGTTAATTTTAAGTAAATTCATATTAATATAATTATTGGCTAAATTGGTTGCCTATTTGCTTTTTTCTAACAAAACTTACCAGTAAATTCCATTTTCGTTTCCTTTCTTCTAGCAAACTTCTAAACGGCAGCTATACATACACTACATAGTCAAATTAAACGATTATTTACAAACACTTTCAAAATAAACATTCGATTTTCAGATATTTAAAATTTACCGAATTCCGAATAATATAATCACAATCATTTTTTACCAAATTGTTGATTGTTGTCTTTACGACTTTACGCGTCACCAACAACTATGTAAACAAATGTCAAATTCTAAAAGCAATCGGCGTTGCCGTTCCTAGTACCTACCTATGTGTTTTAAAAAGTAAACGTCTAAATTTAATATGTTCAAATAAAATGTTCAAAGACTGAGTGCCAGCGGTCATTTTGAGTAACATGTGTTGAACACAATTGTAGATTATAATTATTTAATACCAG